ATAACTCGTTAACGGTGCCTCGGAGAACATTTTTGTAAAGGAAGAAGTTGCTTCGAACGATCCGAGGAACCCGCCGTTTCCGGATTGCGAGACATTTTTGGGACACCCTGTGGACTGTTGTAAATCGATGCGAAGACAAAAGAAGTGTGAAACAATGCATACGAAGACGATTATTTGGTTCGAACGATGAGCGAGTGAGCTACTAGAGCAAGCCGCTATAGTGGCGCGTCGTCCAGAGAGATGACATCCGCGAAAGCCACTATAGCGGCGTGTCGTTCTGAAAGATGACATCCGCGAAAGCCACTATAGCGGCGTGTCGGGCTTAAAAGGTTAAGAAAATCTTCGTACAAAAGTGTACTGACCCTGCGTTATGTATGCGCATTTTCGGCGCCCCGTAACAGTGGGAGTGTCACGGCGGACAACGCGCTCGTACCGAAAGGGTTGAATGCTCAAACTTTCAAATTTCCCACGCATCGAAACGATCAAAATCGCCAGAAAAAGTTTCAGGCCAACCGGTACCTTCCTGTTCTCTTTTGATCGCGTCGCATCGGATCGCAATATCGCCGTTCTTGTTTCGTTAATCCCACGAGCCTGCATACCGGGCAACGTTATCGGCGACGTCTCGGTGGCCGCCGATCGCGGCCACCGATACGAGCGTCGAATCGGTGCTTTTTCTTCTTTTTCTTTTATCGCGGTTCGCGGAATCGAATGAAATTTGACCGGTATCGAATCGCGTTCTCTCCCGAACAGGTAAACAGGCCGCTCAGCATGAAGAAAGAGGGCATCCAAACGAGGAAGAGGAAACCGAAGAATCACTCTGGAATGGGCGGAGGGATGGCCGGGCCCAGCGGCATGCACAAGACCGAGATTAAGTCTAGCTTGCTCGGTGAGTCTTCGGTGAGCAAGTTTCTCATTCAGTCTTCCTCGTGTACAACCAAGTACCGTTTCACCATTCGCGGCGTCTTCCCCGATCGGTTGATCGCGTGTACCTACAGGCCGCGTCTCCCACATTTTCCCCCGTCGATCTATCTCGTTTCCCCCCACCCCCTAACAACAAGACGATCGTATCGTCGCAACGTCGTATATCGCCGTATCGTCGTATCTACGTTCCGAATCTCGAGACGGTATCGTCCTTGAACGAATCGAAAAGAAATTTTTGCGGATTAAAAACAAAGTCCGCGAGCAGAGGTTGGAACCGCGAATCAAGATCGGAGAGATTCGTTCGCGGCAGATCTCGCGGGCAGATAAACGTTCGAGGGAAGTCGACGGAATCGGCAGAATCCGGGAGCCGTTGCGCGACGGAAACGAGGCGCGCGCGGCAGTTGCAACCCTTTGGCGCCTTGGCGCCTTGGCGCGGACGGCCCGGAGGGGTAGGTGGGGGACAGTGGGCGGCGGAACAGAGAGGGTGGACGCTACGCGGACGAATTCGAACGCGCATCGATCGACCGGCATCTTTTTCACGTTCCAGTGGACCCGCTGCAGTTGAACGTGTACGGGATCGGTGGCAGCAACGGTAACGGGGATGCGGGCGGTTACGGGTCCGGGGTCAGGGTTGTCGCCGGTACCGAGATCGAGATTGGGAGCGAGAGCGGAACCGAGGGTGGAAACGTTCGGTCGGAGGAGAACCATCCGCCTGTAGGTACACCGACACCGACATCGACACCGACAACGACGACGACGACGACGACAACGCCGACGCCGACGCCGACGACGACGACGATGCATTTGGGGCACGCGCACTCGCCCCTCGCATTGCCCACCGCCGCCGTTCTGAATCGTCAAACCACCCTTACGTAAGTGTCCTCGCGGCATCGTCGTCGAATCGAGACGGTCCTCGACGCGGCCGAGGTTTTCGGCCCCGCCGGGATCGCGTCGATTCCGCCGATCGCGGAACGATGCGAGGACAAATTTCATTCCCGAATCGTGGTTTCGCAGCCGTTCTAAGCTTCGCTACTTTTCAGCGTGCCACCGCTAGAGCCAATCGCTAGTCAGCCCAACGTCGACCCGATCTCGGTCATAACCTGCACAACGGCCGTCCACGCTGAGAGAACAACCTAGAATCGAGAAGAAGGGGACTTGGGCACCGGAATCGGCGCGCGCGCGCACGCGCGTTTCGTTCTCCGTTCGGTTCGACTTCGACTCGACCGAAACGACCGAGGGAACGACGCGATCCCGCTCGCTTTTCAGCGCGTTCGTCGCGATCGAACCAACGGTTCGCGAACGTTCTCGTTCACGCCGCTTCTATTTATTTCTAATTTCGAAGAACGCCAAGTTCGAGACGCGTTCGCGACCGTCCGCGATCCGATCGGTCCGCGCGAGGAATCGTCGCGGCGCGTCATCTCGCGCCGCGAGCTCGGCCGGTACCGGCGAACTCGCGCGCGCCGGCCGCGCTCTGTCTTATCGGCGGTTAAATTGCAGCGCCACCGAAACCGACCGCCCTCTAGGCAAGCAGAACGGTACCACGCGTTTTCAAACTCGTTCCTCCTCCTACTCGTTTCCGCGCCTCCTTGCTCCTCGACTCTTCCTCCTCCTCCTCCTTCTTCCTCCTCCTCCCTCACCCGCGTGTCGCTGCGGATTTCCATCGAGCTTCTCCGCCTATTTCCATCGACGATTCGCGATAGATCGTCGCGTTGCTTTCACCGCTCGATCCGCTGACACGAAACTCACGGAATTTACGTTTTGTAAATACGCGGAATCCGCCTCGTTCGTGGATGCGCGCACGACGGATGCGATTACCGCGGGTACGCGTCGACGTAGCAGCGAATCCCGAGCCCCAAAGAATAGTTTATTGTGTACATACGTATTCGCGCGGTAGCGTCGCATCGGCGAGGAACCGGAGGCACTCGCGATTTCCCGTCGATCCGTCTACCACCGGAGCTATTTATTTCGATCCTTCCGGAGCTAGCGTACGCGTTCGTTCGCAATTGTACGGCGGCCGTCCAACGAATCGATTGGTCGCCGCGGTCGGTCGGTCGGTCGATCGGTCGTCGGATCGTCGATCGCGGCCGACCATCGACGATCGCCGTATTCGGTCCGTCGGAGCGTCTTGGTCCGCCTATTCCGCCGATAGAACCATATTTTGTACGCGAGCACTCTTTGAAACTCAATAAATCGATCGAACGAGTCTAGCGAATCGTAGTAGAATTCGCAACGATGGCGGTCGTCGCGGTCACCTGGCCGCGGCGTCAACCGAGACGTTCGCCGAAGGGGAAGCGGCGCGGCTCGGCGCGCCGGCCAGCCTCTTTCCGAATCGAATTCCACCATCGTGGAGGACGAACGCCGAAAAACCTTGAAAAGGCGGATTTGCGCGCCCAGGCAGGAAAGAAGGGTACGAGAAGAAGAAGAAGAAGGAGAAGAAGAAGAAGAAGAAGAAGAAGACGGGAACGGTTTCGATGAAACGCGGATCGCCGATAAGAGCAAAAAGAATGGATTCGAGCGACTGAACGGCCGGAAGGGGAACGCGAGGAGAACCAGACAAAGAGAGAACGCGAACCGTAAAAGCAACCGAGAGAATACGCGCGAGCGAACACGAGCTGGAGGGGAAACGGGAGAGAGACCGAGATGGAGAGCGTGTGTATGCGTGTGTGAGAGAAAGAGAGAGCGAGAGAGAGAGGGAGAGAGAAAGAGGAGGACAGAGTAAGAGAGAGAAAGAGAGAGAAATCGAGAGGGTCGTGAGTCCATCAGCCTAAAGAGTGGCTATCGTGCCGGCTAAGGGCTATTCCATGTTAGCTGCTCTCGGCGAGCTCCTTTTTTTCCCTTCTCTTTATTCCCCTCCAGAACTTTTTGTAAGGCGCAAACGTGGCGCCGCCCTCGAGATCCATTCTCGCGCGAGCAAATTCTGAAAGCTTCGCCGTACCGATCGTCGTCGCGTCTTCGCCGTTTCATCGCTCGTCTTCGTTCTCTCTCTCTCTCTCTCTCTCTCTTGGTTTTCGCGTCCGGAACGCGGCGCAACCTTATCGATCAATTTTCTTTTTTCGGCGAACTCCCGACGCCCACGACAATTTCCCCGACGGGTTCACCCGTCGGGGGTTGCGGTCTTCGTCGCCGACCCGACCCCGACCCTCTGACTCATCGTGCTCGACGCCGGGACACACGAACTATGACAATTCTCGCGGAATGGATGACGAGAACAAATAATAGCGAGAACGACGCGGACGACGGGCCGATTGGAACGCGTTCCCGCGGCCGTCGCGGTGCCCGTCGGATCCCGGCGAGCCGCGGCGACCGTACCGAACCATCTTCGGAATTTAAGGGATGTTCGTCGTTCCCCCGTCGCCGCGTCGCGACGTGGCGCCAACCGGTGAACCTTATCGCGAGCGGAGCACCGTTACTCCGAATTCTTATGCTCGAAAGATTTCTTTTCGTTTCACTCGCTTCTCGGATCTTTTACCGATAACTCTTTTCTTGCCGCTGCCCTGCCCTGCCCTACCCTGCCTCCCCTCTTCTGCCTCTTGTCAGTCACTTCGCGACGAGCCCGTCGGTCGTCCATTTCGCGTCGCTCGAAAGGACGCGCCGGTGCAACTGCAAGGAAGAGGCACGCTCGTCGAAACTACGGAGAAATAGAGACAGCTTAATCGATGGAGTCGGAGTGGTAGAGAGAGAGAGAGAGAGAGAGAGAGAGAGAGAGAGAGAGAGAAATAGAGCGAGAGAGAAATACAGAGAGAGAGAGAGAAAGAAAGAGAAATAGAGAGAGAGAAAGAGAGAGAGAAAGAGAGAGAGAGAGGATAAGAGAGAGAGAGAAATATATAGAGAGAGAAAGAGAGAGTAATCGACAAAGAGCATGGATTCCGTTGGAAGTGCCGAGAGAGCTCGAATCTCGTGCGCCGTGTGCCACCATCGGTGGTGCAGGAAACGCGCAGAGGCACGAGCGTGTCCGCGCCGCCATAAATAAGCTCGAAGCGCAACAAATTAGATCGCGCGATCCCGCGCGGAACATCGCTTAGTCTCGTCGCAGCCGCTCGCGATATTTCACGGGTGAACCACGAACGTAAGTTAAGCCGTCCACACCGGCCACGCCACTCCTTGCCTTGTTTCGCCTTCCTCTTTCCTCTCCGCATCGCGACCGCGCGTCTCTTCGTTTCTCTCGGTTTCTCTCGGTTTCTCTTCGCTCGACCGGTCGCAACTCGCCTCGCCTTGCCTCGCCTTGCCACGCCACGCCGCGTCGCTTCCATGCCGTATTTTCTCGACCGGCCCGACAATCCTGTGGCCGGCCATTCTTTTCGCGTTCCCCGGTTTCTTATTGTTTCTTCGTCTCGGCGCTGGTCGTCGTCGGCAGATCGACGGCACGATGGCACCGCCGCGCGTACGGCGAGAACGATCGAACGATCTAGGTTACACCGCGACGGTGTTCCCCCCCGCCAGTAAGGAGAAGCTCTTCGGCTCGGTCCAGGAGAACGATCGGTACACTCTCCCGCGGATCCGTCCGGATCGTCCGGATCGTCCGGATCCCGCGACATCCCCCTGCGGAGAACCGCGGAGCCGCGCCGCGGCGACCCGACCGCGTTGTTCGCGGTCGCCTCGGATTCTCTTCTTTTTCGATGACGCGACTCGTTCGCCCACAGGGCTATTACGAAGTCTACGGGCCGATCCTGAGCACCCACGAACGCCCGCGTGTACGTGCGTACACGTGTACCTACACGCGTGGAGGGTTCAACCGCGCATCGAAGATCGGCGACCGGCGACCAGTGTCCTGGTTTCCAGGAAGAGGTCGGACGAGCGACGCAGAGGAAACGCTCCGTCGGACCAACAGAGATCGAGATTCGACGAATGCGAATATATACATGTATATATATATACGAGGGAGGCAGGCAGGCTGGCAGGCAGCGGGAGCGAGAGAGGAGACGAGAGGGAGAGATCGAGGAGACGGGGAGAGAGCCACCGATTAGATTAGCCCGGGAAGAAACCTCCGTGGCGAGTTTCGCCCGAGTCGAGAACGAATTGGTCGCTCGCGTAGGGGCCGGACGAGATTCTTTCGGCGGCGGCTCCGACCGAGAGACCGGGACCGAGGCGCGCGGAACCCCGTTCGGGGGAGAGGACCGTCGCGGAAAACGCGCGGGCCCCCGTTGCCGACGCGACGCGGCAGGCAAACCCGCGGGGGCCCGCGAAGGCCCGCGAAGAACCGCGGAGGCCCGCGGAGGCCCGAAAAGGCCCGCGAAAGCCCGCGAAAGCCCGCGAATGCCCGCGAAGAAGGAGAGCGCGCGCGAACCGTCCCCGTCGAGCGATATATATAATTCCGTGCGATGCTTTATTTTCAAATTGCGCGTGATTTAGTGCGCGGTACGGCACGCGGTAGAACGTCGATATGTAAATGCGTTAATGCTTAATGCGTGTCGGTTGATTTATTGTCGCGCGACCGCGGTTGCGCGAGTGAAAGGCGCAGCCTGCCTCGGAGGTTGAGGAGGCTTCTCGTCGTCGGTTCGAGAAACGCGAATCGTTCGGAACAGCGAGACCCGCATCGACGACGCCTTTTAAGTCGCACCGCGGTGAAACCGCGGTTTCACCGCAACCGTTACCCGGCGAGACCGCGCTGCTCCGCGAAACAACCGCGAAAAAGGACCGCGTGCACGCGCTCGCCCGGTCGAACGCGACGTGCCCGCGACCCGAACCAACGAGAACCGAGCCGTGCCGTGGAAAATACGGTTTCGAATCCGGCGTCGGCCGTTCGTCGCGACGGACCTCTCTGCACCCTCCGATTTTCCGATCGGCGCCACTCCTATCTCCCCGCCGTTACTTAACGGCAAGCTGCACCAGCTATATTTTAACGGTCTCTCTCTCTCTCTCTTTCTTTCTCTCGGAACGAGATAATCGGCCCTTCGTTACACGGATTTTTCGACCGGTCGATCCGCCGGTGCTACCTCGTTCGCTCGGATTCCCCGAATTCGACGAGTACGGTACGCGGACGTACGCTCCGCGACACAAGATTCCAGCAGGTTTCGAAATGTTGGCGAACCCGAAACGTTTCGACTGGCCCGCTCGTGTCCCCGTCCCTGTCCGTGTCGGTGTCCGTGTCCGTGTCCGTGTCCGTGTCCGTGATCCGACGCGACCCGTGTTCCGACGAAGCGGCCGCGCGAGATCGGACGAGACAAAAATCGGGGAACAAAAATCGCGGCTAAACAAAACCGGACCGACTCTAATGCGTGTTATGCACCGACCAACACACGGGCAAACTTCGTTTTTTCCTGGAAGCAGTTGCTCGCTCGTTCGCCGAGATAACGCACGTTGGGCCCGCGCCGGACCGCGACGGTCCGCGACGGGCCGCGACGGTCCATCGACGATGGACCCGGCTCTCGGCAAACACGTCGTACACGGTCGTGACCGCGACACGCCCGTGGCACTCGTCGTTGCGATCGCGTTTTACCATGGAGATGCTTCCGTCGCGAGTCCGAAGAGAGAACCGTGCTCGACGATCGAACGGAAATCGAACGACGGAACGTGTTTTCCGTTCGAAAATCCGCCCCGACGCCGGACGATCTCGCTTCTGCCGCGGCGACCTATCCGCTCGATCATCTTACGCTATCCGCCATTGTCTTCCGGAACGTTGAAGGACGACCTGAACCCTCTCGATCGCGAGCGTCCCCTGTTCGGATTCGCAGACGTTAGATTTCTCGAAATCGAATCGACCGCGGAGATTTTCGTTGCACGCGTTCGTTCGCCGACGAGGAGTTTCAAGAAGCGAGGAATACTTTGTAATTTGATCTAATCTAACTTAATGTAATTTAATGTAATTTAATTTAATTAAATTTATTTTAACTCAATTTAATTCGATTTAATTTAACGCGATACAATTGAATTTAATGCATATGCATACATATGTATACGGGTAGAAATCCGCTTTTTACAATGCGCAACTGAAAGCTAATATCAACGCTTCCACGAGCGCGCCACAGTAAAAAGAATTTCATAAAATTAAAATATTCCATTCGATTGAACAAAAATTACGAAGCAAACTTATATCGATTGCTTCTTCAGCGTTCGTGCCCTCTTGCAAATCGTAATAAAATTAAGCAATCGTTCCTAATTCTTAGAAATTGGAAGTGCAAGTTTTTCGCCGTTCGGTCACATCGGTCGACCGAATTTAAAACGGGGAGATCTCCCCATTCGGATGGCTAAGTGTTAACAAGATTTTTCT